AAAACTCCCTGGTGGTGGACAGGAACAGAGTTAGGAATTTCGACAAAGCGAGCTGGCACCTGAAATATCCAAAGTAGTTAAGAAATCCGGGAATGACTCAGGCCAAATATAATTAAGGTTAATAGATTTGTTGGCTTGCGTAAGGACATCCAACCATTGTGTTATTCCTTTGCCACTCTTGAACTGATCTGGAGCAGTATGCAGGTCCGGCGTTCCAACTTCATTGCATGTTTGAGGTTGAGCGCTCCGCTTGATCACATTTTAGGTTCACTGATCTACTCAAGTTTGGTTTCAATTCCATTCACAGCCATAAATGATCGGTTGTTTGAAGTAAGCACAGGTACACTTCCCTTGACCACAATGTGGCCCATTGTCCTGCGCAAGACGCACTTCACCCCAGCAGCAGGGCCAGACCTGGTAACACATGGTTCTGCTGTGTCACCCACCATAAATGGACATACAGGGCGGTCATACAGCTTTTATAATGAGGAGGAGAGGGTGAGGCTGTGAGAACCAGTGCTGGGAGTAATTTATAGAATTATACCTGCTAAATATGAAATTATAAATGATAATTATTGGGTTTTAAAGCCAGCTATTAGAGGAAGGCGTCCTCTGGAATTGTACCCATTGCATATGGCCTCCCAACATTTGCCCACACACATCAACCAAGGCTCTTCAATGTGCTTTTTAGAGGCCATTTATTTTGTCCGTCTAGTTTAAAGCAGCACTAAACTCCGGAGTTAAATCTTAAAAATACATTCAGGTACCTCAACTCTGAACAACAATGTATCTTATTTGTGTATCACTCGGCTGTAGATCCTCCAATCATCTCTGAATTGGTGCTGACACTGTCCTTCCTTCTGGAGTGGGGCTACTTTTAGTTCCCCCATGCTCCCTGTGTGTGTTGCAAAGTAGTCACCGCTCCAAGCTCGTTCCCAGGATGGACTACAAATTGGTAAACCAAGCATGAGACTGTAGTCCATACAGGGAGCGAGCTTGGAGCGGTGACTACTTTAGAGCACCCACTGGTCTGGACATGGTGTGAACAAGCTCTATCTGATGGGGGGGGGGAGGTCAAAGGGCCTTTGGGTTGAACAACCTGGCCCAAAGCACATAGCCCATCATTGACAGGTGCACTTTAAATACATTTTCTTCTGCCTGTCCTCTAAGTAAGGAAAGTCCTATCAGTCCAAGAATTAGAAGCAAGCACACTTAAAGAATGTTAATCTTCTTTTTATTGAGGCCAAGATTTGATATTCAGGATTACTCAGTAAGCTGTAGGGCAGAGCACAGAAATATTTAAAGCTAAACTCTGCCCTTCCCTTCAGTCTTCTAGCTGACCTCCGTCCTTCCCTTCAGTCTTCTAGCTGACCTCCGTCCTTCCCTTCAGTCTTCTAGCTGACCTCCGTCCTTCCCTTCAGTCTTGTAAAGTTGTACCGGCTCCTCTCCTGGACTGAAATGGCTTGCTCTGATTTTGCTGCACACTGTGAGCCTCTCGCAATGCGCATTAGAAGCTGCAGCAAGTCAGATAGAGCCCGCCTCATTTCCTGGCTGGAGGATATCCAGCATCATGTAGTCCTTTTTGTAAGGGTGCCATCATTTTTGTCCGTGCCATTTTCGTTTGCTTTTGCTTCAATACTGTAGAATATTTACAAAAAAAAAAGTCTGATATTTGGAATAGACAACGATGGACGCCAATTACTTTGATCATTTTAAACTTATTTCAGAGAAAATTGCAGGTTCTTCGTTTTTTAGTGGAAGGGCACCAACAAATTTGTCCACGTCTGTAATATATATTTATGTAAAGAAATGACAGAATACAAGATCTGCATTGGCAATTTGGCATTATGTCATTTCGGCGAGCGGAGAGCCAGTGCGTCAGCATACTTCACATCAAGGAATATTACGGCTGGAACATGATACGTGTGGCGGCGTGTGTAATAGTTTCCAGGTCTGCAGCGAGCAGCTGAAAATAGCCGTTTTCTCTCGCCGTCCTACTTCCTGTTTTGTGTAAGGCCGAACGCCGCAAGAATGACTTATAGAATCTGAAAAGTGGCCGTTGTTTCCCATAATAACCTTACCTCGACTCTCACTTTTACAGTGTGCCTTCTGATTGGCTATTATGGATAAGGCAGACACCTTTCTTCTTTCTAGGTCTTGTCATGGATGAAAGAAGGCGTTCTTGTTCCCGTAGCAACCCATCTGATTTCATTTTCAAAACTCAACAGGAAAAATTGGTTGGGAGGTGCTTGGTAGCCACGAACAAGAAGGACGAAGTGGCCATTTTATCAAACTTTGAGAGTTTAAAGGAGGAGTATTGGGAGGTAAAATGTAGTCTTCCCAATGCTTGGAGCCGGTGTGTGATCTATAGATGGAGAACTGAGCAATCGCAAACTGCTGATCGCTCAGCTCATGGCTTCTTCCTGCAGAGAGGAGTGACTTGTCAGTCACCCCCCCCCC